AACTTTCTGTTAAGCCTTCAAAGTGCTACTACGAATTAAGGCAATATATGTCCTTGTTGTTATTTTATCAAATTTGTGAATTTTCTAGTAAGCATTTCTATTTATTTAAACAGTTCTTAATGCGTATAAGTAATTTATTTAACTCCGAAACACACTGTATACAATTACTTACATAATTTTATTCGAATGCAACCCAACATACATGCCGTATATCAATATCGAACAAAGTATCATATCCTATCCTGTCCTAACCTTACCCATCATCGCCGCCGATACTAGAATTGTGTAACACAGGAACGAGTCGTTCACAAGAACGGCTCAGTTCAACTGAAGTAGTTCAGAAATTGAAAGAATTGTAGTTCAATAGTTCACATTTTGTACAGTAGAATCCATGTATTTTCAACCTATCGGGACTAATCGACTCTCTTCTTTCCCATTTTGTGGCAGTCACAGACCAATCAGAAAGAAACTGCGTAAATCTCTGCGCAGTAGTTACGCGCCAATTTTGAATATAAAACGTATAATTTGCTTTTACGCATCCATTTCTTTATTCGCTGAGCAACGTAAGAGAAGTTTTGCGTGAGAAGTGGAGACGAAGAATTTGAAAATACATAAGTAAAACCAGTTGAAAATAGATAGTATTTAAAATACATGAGTTCTACTGTATTATTGGACGTTTTGCATACTCTACATTCTTAACGCTGAACTAAGTGAACTACTGAACTATAATAGTGAATTAGTTCACTTCATTGAAGAAGATTTATTGAACAACATCAGTGAATTGAACTACAATTCCCAAGTCTAGCCGATACATCTAAATGTTTTATATTTAAAAAGTATGAAGGGAGTAGGGAAGATATCTATACGTACAACAATCCAATTTTGCAGGGTAAGATCAATCTGAAGTTTTAAGTTCAAACAGGCAGGATATTGAGTTTGGTGCTGTTGACAGGTTACCACGGTCGTGCTCGACGAAAACAGCTCCGGATAGAAAGGTCGCGTCGCCGCAACGAGTTGCATCGCCTTGCGTCAGTAGTCGTTCAAATAAGTATGAAGTGAACGAGGGAAGTTACCTACCTATCGGTCGTCGACGAAACCAAATGAGATGCACTTAAGGACGCGATTTGCTCGAAAGCTTTCAGTCAATAGCGATATAACCGGAACATGTACTGAATAGCAGCAGCAGTGCTCCATCCAGCAAGACACCTGAGGCATGCAAACGATAGTTGACTGTGCAAAAGGGAATGTTTGACAAGGCAGTTTTATGGCAAGGACATGACTTTAAACCCCACAAAATATATATTAGGATCTCTATAAATTTCTCAACGTGGAAATAACAACGTGTAGTGATATATGGGTCTAAAAACAACAATTAAATTTACAGCGTTGTGCACAATGTAATTACTGGATTCTCATATGAAAAAAACAAGAAAGCTGTAATACTATTGAACTAATTCTTACATTTTAGGCATAAATTTCTTTACTTCTAACAACACTGAACTGACGTACTTTATGCTTGTTATCAGACCCATTTTGTTCTTGTGATATCTTTATCTTCAAATATGTTACTATTATAACCATTTCTTCATTCTTCATAAATTGACCTCAGGAAAACTAGAGATAGGAGTATGGACTCTAGACTAACAGGGTGGCAAACCCCTGTTCTAAATTTCGTGCTAATGTAGGCCGGTCTAGTGTTCACGTGATGATATCACCTAAGCAGTTCCACAAATACCGTTGAAGGTTCTCTCTGTCAGCTATATAATCAGAGTTGTCATATTGGGCTATCTCAAGTGACTTTTGCCTATTCAAAATGAAATAAAATACCTAGCCAGTCGTCAATTGAGCTTTTGACCGGCTATCCTTTTTCCCAACACCGAAAGGCGACTTTGAAAAGTTTTCTGATAGGTTACTAATTTTCAAATTGCATCCACACTTTTCTAAAAAAAAATGCAAGATTTCAAATATTTAATTTTAACTTTCGTCGAAATATACATCTTAGTCATTATCGTAAAAATGAACCATTTTAGCGTTAGACCTTCGGATTAATGCTTGAGAGACATGCTGTTCGCTGAGTAGGTACATTGACAATGTGTAAGAAGCATATTTTGTTTTTGCATGGATGAACTAGATCTTACACAACTTCAGCGTTTTGTAAAAAAGGTACAATGAATTTAGTAAAATGCCTATCAGAAAATCGTACAGTAGATGCTGCTATTACCTCTACTGATGAAAATACTGACGTCACTAATATTTTGCAGTCGAATATCTTACGCATTTTGGCATTATCTGGTTTTAGGTACCAATTTTTTTCAAATCTACAAGTAAAAAAAACTGTCCACTTGACTTCATTAATACCTGCACTTGCTTCTAGTTCACAACATATAAAAAGAGTGTTGTGGTTGGGACATAAAAAGTTGCCTAAAGAGGGGAGTGGAAATAACTATGACTACCCTTTAAAAAAAAAAATGTAATTATTCAAAACATTAAAATTTGTAATCATCATCCTCATAATGTCGTCAGTTCTAAGACGGGTTGGACATGCACCTCCACTCTTTCCTATCCTGAGATAATCTTCACATTTCCCTAAAACTAGAACATCCCTCATCCTTAACTATTTGCGAACAGTAATCTAATCTAGGTCTACCTCTATTGCTCTTAACTCCTGTTTTTGCCTCTAATATGTCTCTCCTATTTTTCATTGACTTCCATAGAGTCCTCTGTTCTATTATTTCTAATACCTCTTCATTTCTAACCTTCTCATCATTTCTAACGTTTTCTTTTCCGCCGCGCCCACCGTCCATCTTTCACACCCGTACAGCGCCGAGCTCCTGACTTCTTAGATATCTAAAATCAGCCACTTCTTCTAATTTTTCGTCTCTTATCATTATATTCGCTCTTTCCCTTGTATACCAGTATTTTTGTTTTACTTTTATTTATTTTCACACAATACTATTTTGTCAATACCACTTCCGTTTTATTTAAAGCCATCTCTAACTCCACCTTGCTAAAGGTTAATACTGTTATATCATCTGCAAATCTAAGCATACTAACGTTTTGCCTCTCTTTGACGTATAAATAAAAAACTAGCAGTGACAGTGTGCATCTTTGTCTGACTCCCTTCCTAATATTTACTTCTCTACGTTGCTGCTCCAGCTCTATAACTGCCTATTGCTCTTTATACAAAATTTGGAATAGGAAATAGTTAACGAATTGGTCTAAAACGTCAACAGATCATCCTTGACTACTCTTATCTCTTCTTAGTTAGCTGTAAGGACCTCAGAAAATGGAATTAGTCATTTGTTTTTTTTTTTAACATACTAAAAACGTTTTCGTTTATTTTTTAGGAATATTTCGTCTACTTGAATTTATAAGATTGTATATTACAAAATCAACTATTTGTCGTTAATATTTTACCATGCTTCAACTATATCTTTTTTGTTTATAATGTTAAATCTTTATGTTTGTAGTTTAATTTTATTGTTTGCTTTCATATCATTATCAATAAGCACTCGAATATATATAAATGAGTAAATGTCCAGCCTCCCGAAGTAAGTAGGGGTGAACAATTTTTTACTATTTCAGTTGTCAATTAGGCACCTAATGAAAACAACCTTGTGCTTAGCCGCTGGCAAGTGTAATACAAAATTGTGCAATAAATTAGTTAAACCAAATTAACCTGGTCCTTCGTTACAAAAAGAAGAAGAGGGTAAAAATAAAGCAAGCAGTCCATTACTAAAAACCAAAATAAGCAACTTCTACTCTAACGATCTAACAGTACCTGTGAGTACTTAGTTACTGTAACGGTAATTTATTGTTAACTAGCTTTTCCCCGCGGCTTCGCTCGCCGAAATTAGTATTATTTCTCCATAAAACCTTTTAACTTCCAATTCACCCTTACAACGTAGCAACAACATTTCATCTTTAAGGGTTGATTTTTAAAAATTGCCAAAACACGTATTTGCTTAATTTCAACAATGAGCAACCTTCAAGTAATTCCGAGTACAAATAAAATTTACCCCATGGAAACGTTGCAACCTCTTTTCATTTGATTAATAATATCAAACAGCATATATACCAAGTTTCAAGTAAATTCAACCACAAATAAAGTTCCAAATAAAAATTGCAACACCTTTTTACCCCTACCCCCCTTTGGAGGTTGAATTTTTTAAAATGTCGAGATAAGTCTTTCAGAAATTAAATGAGAGACCATTAAGAGCAAGTTTCAAGTAAATCTGGCCACAAATAATATATGTTCCATTTAAACATTGCTACTTCTCTTCACCACTTAACCCCCCCCAATAGTTTTTTTAATTTTTTAAGCAGTTTCAAGTAAATTGGACCAAAAACAAACATGTAATCTTTACAAACCTCTTTCAGCTTTCTGAAGAGGTAGAATTTTGTAAAATGTTGAAATAGGTATGTATGTTACTAATTTTATATGAAAAGGCATTAAAGCCAAGTTTCAGGTAAATCTGACTATAAATCCTTCCTTCTCCCCGTTATAAGCTACGTCCCCACCAATTTTCAGCCAAATCGGTTCAGTCGTTCTGTAGTTATAAATGGTGTAACTAAGACGACTTTCTTTTATATATATAGATATATGCCTTTGTTGCGAATTTATAAATTTATTTATTTTTGTTGATTTTTTTAAAAGTAATCGAAAATAGTCATAGATCGTAAAGATGATTTATTTAGTTCTTCTAGGTACTTGAAGTCTCCGTTTTCGGAAATTTGTAACATAGAACTCTATAATTTCAAATAAGCAGTTTGTTCTTAATGAATTTTTGATGACGCAAAAAAAATATTTTTTTAATTGACATTTAATTATAAATATTCTATTTTTGTAACATATACATTAAGTGAAAATTTTAGTTTCTCAAGCCTAATATAGTTCATATAGGTCATAAGTGGTTTTAAATGCGTAATTGCACTATAAATAGTATAAATATTTTATACGTATAATACTCATTTTTTTATTATTGTATGTTACTTTACAGCTTTTGGGATATACCAAGTCATTGGTGGCAAGCAAGTACGATCCTGGTGGGGACCGGAAGCGCCCTAAGTCTTCTTATAGCGGTTACGGCCACTGCAGCATGCTGCTTGACATATGTCATTCACGCCTACACAGCAAAATTTGCAGGGTCTTTGCAACTCTTTGCAGGTAAGATTAAAACCAATAAAAAAAAAAGGTAGAAATAGAAACCACGGACTACGGAATAAGATAGGGACGGACTATAAAGTGTGAATATAGAGAGGGAGGTAAAGCCACTCAGAGAAGGAATAATGGGTAGTGCTCATACGCTAGTGCGTGGAATTTATTGATTGATTAAATACTGATTAGTTACTAAATTGAAATACAACTTTAATTTCGTTACATATGTATATTAACCTCGGAAAGGTTAGGAATTTACATTTTTGTAATATTATTTTACTATCAAATTTTATTAATTACTGATAGTTTTTGTTTTATGATATTCTTATCAGTTTGTTGTTAAAACTAATTCAGTAGGAAATATTCTTTCTGTATCACAAGAATTATCATTTATTATTTAATATAGAATTATTGTAGTAATGTTCATCATATATTTTGCCATTCCAATAAATTGTAAAGGCTTCTAGAGTGAAAAATTAAGGATCACATTCCGAAATTAAATTAATGTATCTAAACAGTGTAAACGTAATTGTTTCGCTTCTATCAATCTTATGGGAATGATGTTCTGATTCGGGTGTAAAGACCGTCGTCGCTTGGAGTTGCCTCCTAACGTTTCGCTAGCACAAACAGCGAGCTTCTTCAGAGGTCCTTCCACCTTCGATGCTCGATGTGGACAGAAGAGGCTCGTCACGCGAAACTACCTACTAGAATGATGCTTTAACAAAAACAATCGTAATTCATTTATTTGCGAATTTTAGTAGCATCACATCCTGAACATCTTTTTGAGAACACAGTTCAAAATCCTTTGACGATTGAGCTCCTTATTTCGTAATCAAAAGCAGACCACTTGCATTCAGAATCAATAAAGCAATACCGGAAAAAATAACTACAGATTGATACAAACAATAGTTCGTATGCTTTCACCACGGGTGTCTAATTGATGATGAAGAGCTTCTGGGCTTTTCGTGCGTATCTTCGAAGGAGATCCTGTGTCGTTCCTTCCAAGAATGTTCTGCTAAAGTAGATTTGTCTGGTTGGTGTAACCGCTAATATCTTTCGTGTTCTTTTTTCCTTGTTACGATCGTGCGTTTCGTCATGCCTACGTATACCTTGGAACAATCTCCACAACGAATGAAGTAGACTCCTGGTGTTTGTAGTGGGTTTAGTTGGTCTTTGGGGTTTCGTAGTAACTGGCGTATCGTCATCGTAGGTGTGACAATCGTCCTAATTCCATTTTTAAGTAGTAACTTAGAGATCTGATCCGTTACATTGTGGATATATGGAAAAGTTGTCGTTGTCGTGGTTGACTCCTCCTTGTTGTTCACCGTTCTTGGTTCCCGGCGTGGTCTTATTGCTCGTTCGATGTCCTTTCGAGTGTAACCGTTAGCTAACAGTACGGTTCGAGGATATTGAAATTCTTCTTAGCGGTGTTTACCATCAGATGGATGGATGAACGTTTTGATCACGACACGCTTCTGTACGGAATAATGGTTGGAAGTATACTATAGGGATCGGTCTGTATGCATCTTTTTCGTGTACATGCTTTTATTTAGTATGATAGACGGTGTAATTTTAACCAAAATATCCAAGAAAGATAAGATGTAATCTTAATAATAGGTAAGTAATAATGATAAACGTGTCATTCACGTATCTAAGCGATAACTTGGGTGTCTTGCTTTGCGTAGAGCTTCCTCTTTTAAATTTTCCATAAAGAAGTTCGCTTGGACTGGACTGAGTGGATTCCCCATTGCTACACCATCTTCCTGCTCGTAGAATTGTCCGTTCCAGGGAAAGTAACTGAAAGTAACTGAATAAAGCGATTACTTCTGGTGTGAAGTCGCTCTCCAACAGCTAAAATGTGTCCTCGACCGGATTGTTTATAGAAACTGATTCCACATCGAAGCTTACGAGCGACGTGGGGTTCAGTATTTATCATACTTATTAGATTGAAGAAGTGTGCCGAGTTCCGTACGTAATGTTCTGTGTTACCCACCAGTGGCTTCATCAGATTTGCCAGATGCTATGCTAGTTTATATATCGGGCTTCCGATAGAGTTGACAATTGGACGAAGAGGTGTGTCGTTCTTATGGATATTCGGAAGATCATAGAGACGTGGAGGTTTACTGCCTGAAGGTGTAAGTTATTTGATGAGCTTGCCCTCTCAGTCGATCTTCTTAAGTAGATTGGTAGTTCGGCGTTCTACCTTCGGAAATTAAGGCTGTAATTTTCTGGTTGTATTCTTCGGTGTCCATGATTACAGTGGCATCCCCTTTTCGTTTGCCCTTTTGCCGTTTCCCCTGGTAAAATAATAATATCTTTATTGTTACGTAGTTCCTTTAGTGCATCCCGTTCTTCCTAGGATAGATATCTGGGCGGTTTCGTTCGTCGCAGGATTCTACAAGCCTCATTTCGTATATTTTCACCTTCAGCACAGCTCAAATTTCGGATTCCTGCTTCAATGCCGTTGATGATCTTCTTCGCAGGAACATGTTTTAGAGTTTTGGCGAAATTGCCCCCTTTTGCAAGGACCGTTATCGCACTTGAAGTTAGGACCATTCTACTCTTATTGACTACGATTTTTTGGACGTCAAGTTGGTGCTTCACTGTCTTATTAAATGTTAATCTTTCGAATTTACTTTTCTGACGTTTGACTGACTCTTCATACAGTTTGTTCGCTAAAGTAGCAGTCATCCCATCCATCTCATTCCATAGCATCGGCTTGAGTTTCGTAACCCGAAAGACCAACTAAACCCACTACATACCCCAGGAGTCTAATATAAAGCACGCCTAAGATCCCACTTTAATCATTCAGCCGCCAATCATACATCGTGAAGCACTGAATGCTACTATTGAGCATGGCGAAACGTCTGCTATCAGAATTCGACCACGGCTGAAAAACCCAGAAGCTCTTCATCATGAATGATAGATGCATCTCTGAATAGTAGCCTTTACTTACACCTATTGCTTAGTGCTAATTACGTTTATTACGATATAAATTGGATGCACTTAAAAGTCATGATATAGCGTTAAAATAATGGTCCCACTTTTAATACATAAAGTTTGATAGCGTGCTGAAATAACGCATTCTCTGTCATATCTACAAGCTGTTACAAAGGTCATAAAAACAAAAGTAATTCAAATAACTTTAGTGCTAACAAATATCGCATAAAAGATTGATCTACGTAATACGGTCTTTTATATGAAAATCTATCGGATTTACATATCATGTAAGCACGTAAACCGAAATAAAAGACTATTATTTCGGTTTACGTGCTAAATTCACACTTCTTACATTTACTACTAGAGTACAATTCTGGATGCAATTTCATTAAGAAAATGTAAGTAGTTATACCTAAATATTGTTGTGATATTCTTGGTCAAGCGCATTCTTTGATCGAGAATGTGTTACGGAATTGATTTTTGCAGATTTTTAGGTGCTTCTCTACATATTCCATGAGCAGTATATTTGATAATAATGTTCAGTTGTTGTTGATCTAAGATTCTAAAAATACGTGTTTTACATACCATATGTAACAGGTCAATTGAAAAGTCCCCGGCCTAAAATAGTAAAATACATTTTTTTTGCAAAATTCGTTTTTTTTATTCAACATAATTCCCTTCAAGGGATTATAGCGATCCTCCAACTTTTCGATACCATTTTTGTAGTACGATTTGTCCTTTGCTTCAAAATAGGCCTCAGTTTCGGCGATCACCTCTTTATTCGACGAAAATTTTTTCCCAACGAGCATTCTTTTGAGATCTGAGAACAGGAAGTAGTCGCTGGGGGCCAGATCTGGAGAATACGGTGGATGCGGAAGCAATTCGAAGCCCAATTCATGAATTCTTGCCATCGTTTTCACTGACTTGTGAGACGGTGCATTGTCTTGGTGAAGCAGGACTTTCTTTTTCTGCAAATGCGGTCGTTTCTCGGCGATTTCGTCCTTCAAACGGACCAATAACGCTATGTAATAGTCGCTGTTGATGGTCCTTCCTTTTTCAAGGTAGTCAATGAAAATTATTCCACGCGCATCCCAAAATACAGACGCCATAACCTTGCCAGCCGACTGTTGAGTTTTTGCACGCTTTGGAGCGGGTTCATCGTGTGCAGTCTACTCCGATGACTGTCGATTGGACTTCGGAGTGAAATGATGGAGCCATGTTTCATCCATTGTCACATATCGACGCAAAAACTCGGGTTTATTACGCGTGATCATCTTCAAACACTGCTCTGAATCATCAACTCGTCGTTGTTTTTGGTCAAAAGTGAGCTCGCGCGGCACCCACTTTGCACAGAGCTTTCTCATACCAAAATATTCGTGAATGATGTGATGTATACGTTCCGTTGATATCTGTAGAGTGTCTGCTATTTCATTCAATTTTAATTTACGGTCATTCAAAATCATTTTGTGGATTTTTTTAATGTTTTCTTTCGTAACAGCCTCTTTTGGGCGTCAACTGCGTTCACCGTCTTCGGTGCTCATTTCACCACGTCTAAACTTAGCATACCAATCCTTGATGGTTGATTTGCCTGGGGCAGTGTCCGGAAATTCGTTATCAAGCCAAGTTTTTGCTTCAACTGTATTTTTTCCCTTCAAAAAGCAATATTTTATCAACACGCGAAATTCCTTTTTATCCATTTTTTTCACAATAACAAAAGTTGCTTCACTAAAAATGCTATAATTCACAAACTAATGATCCGACAGCCGTCAAATTTATAGACGCGTCTTTTGAAGGTTAGGACTAACTGAAAATCATATGGATTTAGTTCTGGTGCCGCCATCTATGTGTCAGGCCGGGGACTTTTCAATTGACCCTAGTACATGAATTGGTAATGTAACATACACTGCGTTACAAACTCTGCAGGTTCATGGATGTACTTAACTTCCGTACCAGCATCGAGGTATTGCCGGTACGTTACCTTCTTTGTGGACGATTCGCTAATAGCCCTACCTAAAGAAAATAATTATTTGCTGATTTTTGTTAGTGAGTTAACTTCCCGCTTATTTATG